AAAACAAGTGGGTAGTCGTGGAGATGAAGAAATGAAGTAAATTTAGTTCTTTCAATCGAAGGCCTTTTACTAACCGTCTTATCCATATTTCTATATTTTCTGTGCATGTCTGTCATAAAGAAAGATAGGAGAAAAAAGAAGTTTAAAAGGCTTGACATAGACAATGATTTCATAAGTGTATTCATCTTTTGTTCAGGGGGAACCTTTGCTCTTTATTCTTTACTATGTCGACATGCTAAAGTGAAAACAATTCCCAACCAACACCGCACTGATGAGGAGCTTACAACTTATAGTCGCAGCGCATTCCGTGAGCATTCATTTGCCGCTAAAACTAAGAGATGGCTAGAGGCACATGCATTTAGAAAGAATGCCCTTCTTATACTAGTACTTGTTGGAACTTGCATGATGATTGGTGATGGAATTCTCACTCCTGCTATATCAGGTAATTACAGGTATTCTATACATTAATTCTTTCTTATATCTTTTGATGTGTTCATCAACAACTCTTGGTCTCTGCATCTAACTAGTAGATCTGAAGTTTTACATGATACTTTACATTTGAGGATACATGCAATTATCGCATTTCCTTCTTTCAATAATGCAATGTGACATCCAGGTTCAATAAATGCTACCTTTGTAGGTCTTATGTAGGAAAGGGAGTGGTGGGTGGTGTGATTTGGATGAGAAGTGTCTAACGATCTTTTGGGCTGAATGATCTTCCCATTCGGGATTCTTGCATTATATATGAATAAAGTTATACAAATATGGAAAGAGAATTTTACAGGTATGGTAAAGAATTATACAAATATGATTACAATATAAAACTGGTAAATAATCTTTGTCGATCTCTCATTGACATCCCCCCTCAAATTAATGCTGAACGATCAAGAAGCATCAATTTGCTGACTAGAAATTGGTGTTGCTGTCTCGTCATCGCTTTAGTAAACACATCAGCAATCTGAATATCAGTGGTGACTTGCGGAAGAGAAATAATTCGACTATCATAAGCCTCCTGTATGGAATGACAATTCACTTCAATGTGGTTAGTTCGTTCATGAAATACAGGATTAGCAGTAATTTGGATGGCACTAGTGTTGTCAGCATGAAATGGAGTAGGTTCAAGCTGAGGGTAACCAAGCTCTACGAGAAAACCTCAAAGCCAGACAATCTCAGAGCAAGCAGATGACATAGCCCAATACTCGGATTCAGCAAAAGATTTAGAAATACGATCTTGTTTTTTACTTCGCCATGAAATAAGCGCACTACCAAGAAACATACACCAATCCGTAATCGAGCGACAAGTGTCCATACATCCAGCCCAATCAGCATCATTATAACCTATTAACTTCAAAGAGGTATTGGTTGGAAAGAAAAGACCCCTGTCAGGCGTACCAATCAAATACCTAATACGATGCTAAGTGAAGATGTCGTGGAGCATGCATGAATTGACAGACTTGCTAAATAGCAAAAGAGATATCAGGTCGTGTAATTGTATGATAATTCAAACTGCCTACATCACCTTCTTCCTTGCGACTCTTCACATTTACCTCCAAAGGAGTGTCAACAACTTTACCATCCCAAAGTCCAGCCAATGTAATCAATTCCTCTGTATACTTATGCTGATACAAATAAGTCCTAGACGGAGTTGAAAGCACCTCTAGACCTAAGAAATATTGTAAAGGTCCCAAATCCTTCATATGAAACGATTCCTTAAGTGGTTTTTAAGGTGAGCTATCAATCTCGAGTCTGTCCCTGTAATAACTATATCATCCACATAGACAAGAAGGAGCACAATACCTGCCTCGCTAACTGAGATAAAGAGCGATGAGTCATATTGGCTCTGATTAAATGAAATTCCCAAGAGAGTGAAACGAAACTTGTCAAACCAAGCACAAGGAGCCTGTTTCAGCCTATAAAGTGAACGCTTTAGCTTACAAACATCAAGAGAGGGTTTGGAGAAGAGACCTGATGGAAGAGACATATAGATCTCTTCTTGAAGATCACCATGCAAAAAAGCATTTTTGACATCCATCTGCCACATAGACCAACCTTTAGAGGTAGCTATAGTAAGAACCGTATGAATCATGGTCATTTTTACAACGGGAGAAAAAGTCTCCTCATAATCCACACCATATTCTTGGCGATTACCAAGAGCCACCAACCGAGCTTTATATCGATCTAAGGAACTATCAGAGCGTTGCTTACTAGAGTAGACTCACTTACATCCAATAGGTTTGACCCCACGAGGACAAGAAACAATATCCCAAGTGTGATTCTCCTGAAGAGCCATGAGTTCCTCTTGCATTGCTTTCTCCCAACAAAGTTGGGTAACTGCCTGAGAATAAGAAGTAGAAACAGTGATATGAGATAAGGTTGCAGAGAAACCATACCGTTCGGGAGGTTTAGTGGTGCGAGTGGACCGCTTAAGATTAGTAGAGCTTGGAGAAGGATCAGGATCGGGAAGAGGCAGTGGGGTTGAAGACTGTCATCTCTGATATACCAAACCTGGCTTAAAACGTTCAATAGGACGAGAGTCATCCTCAAATTTACTAAGCAGAGCCAAATCAGAAGAGGACATGACATGCTGGTGGAAATAATACTGATTCTCAAAGAAAACCACATTGCGAGATATACGAAAGCGGTTAGCAACACCATTATAACAGACCAAACCCTTGTAAGCAATACTATATCCCATAAAAGCACATCGTATAAATTGAGCAGCAAGTTTATGACATTCATGAGGAGGCAGATGAACAAAGCAAACACACCCAAAAGTATGTAACATATCATAACTAGGATGTGTACTGTATAGACGAAAATAAGGCGAGTCAAAATTCAAATGTTGAGCAGGAAGTCGATTAATTAGGTATACAGCTGTGGATAGGGCTTCGACCCAAAATCTAGGTGGAACGGAAGATTCCAAAAGAAAAACTCGAACAACATCCAACAAGTGCCGATTCTTTCTTTCGGCTACCACATTCTGCTGTGGAGTATATGGACAAGAACGTTGAGAGATAATACCCTTTTGTTGTAAGAAGGTTTGACAATCAAGAGACATATATTCTCCCCCATTGTCAGACTATAGAATCTAAATGACGGCAGAAAATTGTGTCTTAATGTAAGCTACAAAAAGTTCTAAGAGTGGTACTAACCTCACTTTTAGAACGAAGAAAATATATCCAAGTATGGCGACTAAAATCATTAATAAACGTCTCAAAATATTTATATTGAGCATGTGAAGTGACTGGTGTGATGCCCCAAATGTCACTATAAATAATCTTAGAGCATTTATCAGTACGATTGCTATGTGCGGGAAATGGACGAGTCTTACTTTTCCGAAGTGTACAAGTATCACAATCAAAATTCAAATTGGAGAATTGAAACTGATCTTTATTACCAAAGAAACCACGTTTCAACAAATGAGACAAAATTAAAGTGTTTGGATGCCCTAATCTTTTATGCCAAATCTCATGGTTGAGTCCAACACTAATACAAGCCAAAGACATAGCGTGAGGAATAGTAAACTGTAATGGAAATAATCTTCGGACTTTAGGCCCCTTCGCGATCACCTTCCCTGACCCCTGATCCTGCACAAGACAACCAGCACGAGAAAAAAATGCATCACAGTTATTATCAACTAATTGACCAACCGAAATCAAGTTTGCAGATAAGTTCGGAGATACAAAAACATTATCAAATCAAGACCCAAGATCACCAACAGCGGCAATAGGAAGGGTACTGCCATTAGCGATTTGAATATGTTGTGAGCCAGTATAGCACCGAATATTATTTAATAAATCAGAACTACCTGTCATGTGGTTTGATGCTCCTGAGTCAACAAACCAACGAGAAGAAACAACAGAACCCTTATGTTGTAACCCCAAGGCAGAGAAGGCGGAAGCAATCATCTGTTGGACCATTTCTAGGGTAAGTAGAGGTTGACGAGTGCTAGTCTATGAATGTCCTGGAGTAGTACCTCGAATGTCAACCTCAAATGCTTTAGCTTTCCGATATGGAGGTTGTGTGGGACAGTATGCCCTGGTTCCTTACAATAATTGCAAATTGTCTAAGGACAGTTATGAGCAATATTACCGTATTCTTTGCAACGAAAACACTGAAATTTACCCTTCCCTCATCCTTGGACAGCATATGCAACATTGACCACATCAGCTTAGGAAATATCAGCTCCCATAGTAGCTTGAGTAGCTAATTGTTGCACTTCGCACAAAAGTTCACCCAGACACAAATCCAATGGAGGAACCGGATCACGATTCAATAAACCAACTCAAACCACTTCAAATTCGGGTTGTATTTTCATGAGGAATTGATCTGGCTTACTGACTTCCTAAACATCTTGTAGTGCTGATAATGCCGTCGCAAGAACCTTGGCATGAATTATGCCGAACTACTCATTCCACAAGTTCAAAAAGGCCAGAGTAATACTGCTCAATAGTAAGATTACCCTGTGTGTAATTAGCAATCTCTTACTCCGGCTGGAATCTTCGAGCATTATTGTCTTGATAATAAATACGCTTTAAATATTTCCGCATTTCCTTAGCAGCAGCAAAGGAGTGTAAATTATTCACCATGTGTGCCTCCATAGATCTCAAAATCTAGGAAATAATATGAGCATCTTTTATTTCCCAAGCAATGAAATCTTTAGCATCTTCAGGTGGTTTAGAAGTCCCATCAATATGACCCCAAAGCTCCTTCCCTTTTATGAACATCTTGAATTGAAATTCCCATATAGAATAATTTTTCCTATGAACTTAACACAAAATGCCTCGATCGACATGACTTCTCAATGTTAGAAAATCACAAAATATTTTAACCTTGGTCCTCAAAATACCCTAATCAAAACCCACTTTGAACAATAGCCCATTTATAAATCAAAACAATTGTCCGCAGCCCGCTTCAATTTATAACCACACAATCCACTCCAAGAGACCCAATGCAGTTACGAAGCCCACACCTAACGGATCGGGCCCAGTTAATAAAACCAAAATCACAGCAAAACCCAAACTGCTTCACAACGACCAAGAAAATGCAATCCCATAGAAGTCGCGTCGATCGCCGGAGACACAAACGAGAGCCGTTGCTGGTCGTCGCACACACAAACGGAGATGCCAATAACTGGATAGGTAATCTCCCACGTCGATTGCACACACAGTAACCACAGCAACGCTTCACACACAGAAAAGCTGGAGAATCTTAGACTCAACTCCGGCCACCTACAGAGAATCGACTCCCACCTGTGAAGGAAGTCAGATACCGTTCTTCCCGATTCTAGAACTCGAGATGCCACCACATGACTCAGTGACCAACGAAAGGAGCTCACGATTCAACAATCTCAGAGGTAGGCTCTGATATCATAACAATCTTTTTGGCTGAATGATCTTCTCATTTGGGATTCTTGCATTATATATGAATAAAGTTATACAAATATGGAAAGAGAATTTTACAAGTATGGTAAGAGAATTTTATAAATATCATTACAATATAAAATTGGTAAATAATCTTCGTCAATCTCTCATTGATAGTGTCATTAGCTATTATTCTAAGATTAATTAAATGTTTAACTTTTGTCCCCCTTATTAAGTTATTGGTGGTCAAAATGGAAGGAAAAGTGTGCATATACTGAGGGTACTTATATATAGCATCGATATATTTCAAGTAAAGCCCAGATTAACATTTAATATTTCATTTTGTTAAGGAATGAAATAAGTTAGGAATCACATATATTAGGCAAGAGTATAATTGTGGTTTATTATGTTTCTTTATTTTTACTAAATTTCTATACTTTTACTCTTAATTTTTCTATATAATGAAAGTGAGGACAGGAAGATAATTACCCTTTTCTCTCCAAAAGTTTACACCAAATATTTCTTTCTCAACACGGTATCAGAGAATAAGAATTTTTTCTTTTTCATGCCGCTACTGCTTTTTATTCTTCTTCACATTCTTTCTTCCTCTGTTCTGGTTTTTTGTCCCGTGTGCATACCTTCATGGTTGGTGTGTTGAAGTAATCAATTACGAAACTTGTGTGCTGTGTTATCTTTACCCTGAAATTATGCTCATCATTGTCGATTGAATGATTGATTGACGACACGACACTATCCAGTCGAGTCGTTGTAAAGTGTTCTTCTGGGTAGTCAAGTGATTGTGAAGTGTTCGTCGGCATTCCTGATGCAAGATAGTTAGTGGTGATATATGTATATCATTCGTAAAGATCAGAGATTAGCTTGCCGATATGTTTACAAAGTTGTTGTATGGTAATCGGTTGAAGTTCATTTGTTCCAAGTTGGGCTTATATGATATATATGCTCCAACTTAGGAGGGATCGTTAAGGAATGAAATAAGTTAGGGATCACATATCTTAGGCAAGCACGTATATTAAGCAAAAGTATAGTTGTGGTTTATTATGTTTCTTTATTTTTACTAACTTTCCATACTTATATTCTTAACTTTTCTGTATAATGAAAGTGAGGAGAGGAAGATAATTACCTTCTTCTCTCCAAAAGTTTACACAAAAAATATTTCTTTCTCAATACATTTCAAAATATGTGCATGTGTGTGAGCAGGGGCGGACCTGGGGGGGTTTGTAGGGGCAATTGACCCTCTAGATTTTGGGGAAAAAAAAATTTTTGCTTAGCTTTTTTTTATTAGAAGATACCCTATAAATTTTATTTTTGACCCCCTAACCCAAGTCGTCTGGGTCCGCCCCTGTATGTGAGAGCCTGAGCAGATACAAGATCTTTGATGGGTAAAAGATTTTGGTGGGCAACTTGTGAGTGGGTTCATGTTTGCCATGAATATATGTAAATCAGTTTTTCTAAGCCATAAAAGATTCCTTGTATAGAATCAAGCTATATTTCATATATCCTATACATTGAAAGTTGATTATTTATTGTAATCAAGAAAGAGGCGGCGATAGAAAATGATGTTATGATTGGCTGAAATTTAAAAATTTTCAAATAAATTCACGTCGCAAGAGGCTAAATTCATGACATTCACGACGATGAGTGTATAGCACTCAATGAAATAAAAGAACTCCATATTTTTTCACCCTAAAATGTCCCCCTAAATCTTTTTATATTTTCTTACCAAATAAAAAATCAACGCTTACATTAAAAAATATAAACTAACTGAACCATGATTGGAATAAGCAAAGAATACATATCTACCAATGAAAAACTAAGAAATTATTTAATGAATACTATTCTAAATAAATTTGACGACCAGTATTTTCAAACAACTGAAAGCTTTGACCGAAACACGCAATCAATAATACATCACTATATGTTATTGTCCCAAAAATACTATTTTGTATAAACAACAATATTCTATATCACTTCATTTCATGATCAGTGTGGAATCACATTTAAAGAGAAAAATTGATTAAGAATTATGAGGGTCCAAAGAAATAAAATTTAATCCATGCCTATATTTTGCTTAGTTTCAAGAATATACTTATATATAGATTAATTTATAAATAAATAAATTTTAACAAAATAATTAATTTTTCTTATATTTATGAATAGGTAATATATGAAAACATATGTGCAAATAAAAAATTTATTAGCTTAGCAAAACATATAGTATATAATGTCTCTAACTATTAAATAAGTAATTTTTAGATTTGATCAATACAAATTTTATATTATAAAATTTACTTTATTACCATAAGTAAATTTAATAAAGTAAATTTAGCCAAACACGCATTAAATAAATTGCCTAATTTAAAAATAAAATATTAACGTTTCATAAATGTCGTGAAAATAATATTTAATAATTGTAGTATCTTCAACAAGATTTGATTAATTGAGCATTGAGCTTGGGTTAAAATTCAAACTACAACTGGGCTAACACAAATATTTGGACCAAAATATTCTTAATTTTCCATATAGACTAGGGGGTTGGGCTGGGCTATAGCCTATCCCAGCCCCCTACTACCTCCGCCCCTAAATCGAGGTTTATTGACAATTAGTCCCCTTTTGTTGTTTCTATCTTCTTAAGAAGCAACGACAAAAACACCACGACACACAATTTTTCAGAAAAAGCAAAACTGATACAATACGTCTTCAATACATTGATAAAATAATAATAATTTTTACTTTTTATATTGTAAATTAATTAATTAATTTTTTTTTTTTTTTGGGTGAGTTAACAATGTATCAACAATGTGCTGATATTGTATCTCTCAGCGTATTGGAGTTAGCTTATATTTAGTGTAGTTGTAATTGATTATAGCTTATTTACCAAGATAGAACTTACCTGAGATAAGCTAATTCTTGTATTGAGACTATGCATATACCTTTGAGTTATATGGAATTAGCGAATAATTCTGCCACATTATCTATTCTCAAGTTGGTATAAGAGCAAGGGAGATTTTTGCAAATTTTCCGAAAAAACTTTACTGTTCAGCAATTCATTATAGTTTAATACTATAGATTGAACTCACTTAGATAAGGGTTTCAGTCTTATATAATTTTTATTACTTTTTGAGTTATATGGAACCAGTGAATAATTCCATCAATTAATCTATGCTTAAGTGTTGGCAAATGTGTCTCCCAGCATGTCGACGACGTGTTCAACTATACAAACAAAAACAATTTGAACTCGCAACTTGAAATTTTTGACACATGTCAGTATCCAACAAATGTATCTCTCAACATGTGGGCTATGTGTTGGTGACGTGTCCAATAGTACAAAACCAAAAAATAATTTGGACATGTCACCTGTTAGCCATATGCAGGTGTTTAACATGATGTATCTCCCTGCATGTCGGCAATGTATCGAACTGTACAAAACTAAAAAATATTTCTAACATACGTGTTTGACACAAACTCGCCGGTGCTAAAAGAGTGCTGGTGCATCCTAGCTATGTGCTTTAATCTAAGTACTAAAGTATGACCTTATCAAATTACAATTTTTTGGGGATAAATGTACATATAAAAAAGATTACCACATTTGATAGGGTAAGTTTTTGAATTGCTGTACTGGTACTGTAATCTTTAATTCATTATTTTTCGTTCTGGTATGAAACATTTTACCAAAATATGTCTTGCAGTTCTTTCGGCTTCTGGAGGGATCAAGGTGGACCATCCAAAGATGAGTAATGGTACTTATCTACTATCAGAACTTATGTTTTCAGTAAATTTTGTTCTAATACCATTCTTTTATTTGCCTTTTGGTTTTCCATTATGAGCCTAAATTCATTTTCTCTCATGCAGATGTGGTTGTACTGGTTGCTGTATTCATACTAGTTGGTTTGTTTAGCATGCAACACTATGGCACAGACAAAGTTGGCTGGCTTTTTGCTCCTGTTGTACTGCTTTGGTTTCTCATGATTGGAGGTGTTGGCATCTTCAACATATATAAATATGATAGCTCAGTCTTGAAAGCCTTTTCGCCTGTGTACATATATCGATACTTCAAAAGAGCAAGAAAAGATGGTTGGACATCTCTTGGTGGCATTATGCTCAGTATCACAGGTTTTTTTAATATCTCCGGTTCCTTGCCGTCCATCCATTCATCTCTCTTTAGTGCTTCCTGGAAATCTCTTTAATATTTAAAATTCTTGTATAAGCAAGATTCTGATTGCTGCTTACTGACTACAGGGACAGAGGCACTTTTTGCAGATCTTGGCCATTTTCCAGTTTCAGCTGTACAGCTTGCTTTCACAGTAATAGTGTTTCCTTGCCTTCTTCTAGCCTATTCGGGGCAAGCAGCCTACCTGATGCAAAATAAGGAGCATGTGATCGATGCATTTTATCGTTCTATTCCAGGTTAAATATGATACTATGTCTTCAATATACGATTTTCAGTTTTTTCAAAAATGAGTTTTTCATCACAACTTGATATTTGAAGCTTATTCAACGCTGAAAATATGTGAGGAGCAAACACTCGTGCATTATCTTTCCCGACTGAGATTGAAATATTTCAAGCATTGACTGCTCAAAAAACCCTTGCTGCTTTTTGACTAAGAGAAATGTTCTGTGGTGAAGGTAGTGTATAGACTGAAGATGAAAGAAGCATCTTCAGCTAAATTTGTTGTATTGGTTTCTGAATTCCATGTCACTCCATAGCTGAGTAGCTTCTAGGCCAAACCAAAAATGTATGGATGAATTATTTTAGTGAACTTGCATTATTTCAAAAAGCTTACTATGTCCTTTGGTTGGCACGGAAAATCAGCAGTGGTAAAGTTCCAGCACAAATTTTTAAAACACTTTTCTCTACTAATAGAGCAGTAATATGTGTTAATATAAGTGGCATTTTTCTATAGTTACTTATTTAAGTTTGTTACAATATGGTAAAATGCAATTATGTATGTTGGAAAATAGATGGAACCCTTTGCAAACATGAACAGAGACTTGCACATTTCAAAGAGTAGTCAAATGAGGGACTGTAATGTTCAGCTTGATATCAAGACTATGAAATTATAATTAGTGTAACTTGTGCTCATATATTTAAATTTTCATTATGCAGATGGTATATACTGGCCAATGTTTGTTGTTGCAACTTTGGCTGCTATTGTTGCTAGTCAGGCCACCATATCTGCTACTTTTTCAATAATCAAGCAAGCCCTTGCCCTGGGCTGTTTTCCAAGAGTCAAAGTTGTACATACATCAAAGAAGTTCCTTGGGCAGATATACATTCCAGATATGAATTGGATCCTTATGGTTCTTTGTATTGCTGCAACTGCTGGATTTAGAAACAAAAGCCAAATTGGGAATGCTTATGGTGAGTTTGCCTGTGTTATGCTCAATAAAGTTTTATTTTCCTCATTTTACTTTCAGCACCCAACATTATCTACTGTCGGTGCGCGTGCTTGTTCCAAGAAACCTGTTATCTTCAATTAGCTTTCCCAACTTAAGGTTTATATAGCTCATTATGACACTTGAATGCTTTTATCTGTATTTGATCTCTATCCAGTTCAATATTATTGTGTCAACATTTATTACGTTCAGAATTGGCAATGCTTCATGTCTATTTTACATGTCTGATTCCTTCTCATGTATAGAATAGGCAGCCGAACTTTATTTGAATTAACAGAAATGCTGACCATGCTAGTCAAATGTATCAGAATGTCATTCCTACGTTTCTGAATAAGTTCGTTCCTGTTTTATAGCATTTATTATGTCCTTACTTTTTCTCTTACTTGTATTTATTATTTCTTAAAGAATCTCACACTTGCACAGAATCCCGTAGCAATTTGTCCAATGTATATCTTCTCTATCTTTATGCACTATTTGAAATGGTAACCAATTGACAGATTGAAATTTATCTCGACATAATGTTTCCAAAATAAATAAATAAATACATGTATGAAATAAATGTAAAGCGTTATCCTTGAGTCAATACACTCATGTCTCATGCAATGTTGGTAACGTCTGCAAAAGTAGGAAGCTTTTCTGTTTCACTTTCTCCATCTGCTACTTATGGAACTGGCAAACAGCCTGGATGTCTCCTTTTAAGAAATTTGACTGTCCTGAGAAGAGATTTTTGAAATGATACTAAAACTGAACCAAGTTCGATTTGGCTTTCATTCCTAATGAACTATACATCAATTATCTTTGAGAGACTAAAGACTAAAGGTGTTTCAATATTATTTCTTATGTGACAACAGGTACTGCTGTCGTGATTGTCATGCTCGTGACCACTTTTCTCATGACGCTAATAATGTTACTAGTTTGGCACTGCCACTGGATTATTGTCCTAATCTTTACTGGCTTCTCTCTGGTTGTGGAGTGTACGTACTTCTCTGCAGTGCTTTTCAAGGTCGATCAAGGTGGTTGGGTTTCCCTCATGATTTCTGCTGCCTTTCTCGTCATCATGTATGTCTGGCATTATGGTACAATCAAAAGGTATGAATTTGAGATGCACAGCAAGGTCTCAATGGCTTGGATTCTAGGGCTTGGCCCCAGCTTGGGGCTGGTTCGTGTACCAGGAATAGGGCTTGTGTACACAGAACTAGCTAGTGGTGTACCACATATTTTCTCACATTTCATCACCAACCTACCAGCAATACATTCTGTGGTAGTCTTTGTGTGTGTCAAGTACCTTCCCGTATACACAGTTCCGGAGGAAGAGAGATTTCTTGTGAAACGTATAGGACCAAAGAACTTTCACATGTTCCGTTGCGTTGCAAGATATGGTTACAAAGACCTTCACAAAAAAGATGACGAGTTTGAGAAGAAGCTCTTTGACAATCTCTTCACATTTGTTCGGCTTGAGTCCATGATGGAAGGGTGTTCCGACTCTGATGAATACAGCTTATACGGACAAGAGACTCAACAGTCAAGAGATTTTTTGTTGAAAGATAATGTCCGTACATATACATCAAGTAACGATCTCTCAATTTCATCGGTGGACTCCATCGTGCCTGCCAAATCTTCAATGCACAAGACCGTAACATCACCAGGGCGACAGACGGAGTTTGATGAATTGGAGTTTTTGTCTAGTTCTAGGGATGCTGGGGTTGTGCACATCCTTGGGAATACAGTAGTTAGAGCAAGTAGGGAATCTAGGATTTATAAGAAGATAGCTATTGATTATATATATGCATTTCTTAGGAAGATCTGCAGGGAAAATAGTGTAATTTTTAATGTACCTCATGAAAGCCTTTTAAACGTAGGGCAGGTTTTCTTTGTGTGAATTGAGTTTTGTTGACAGTTGAAATCATCAAATTTGATTATTAGAACTTGACGTTCTTGAAGATTGGTATTGTCCTTGATCATGATGTAGTATCATGATGGTACATCAAGTGCATGTTTGGCAAAGGTTAAATTATATTTTAAATTAGTCAAACTTGTTTTTTATTTATACATTTTGAAGAACCCACCAAGGATGAATCTTGGACAGGACTACAAGTCGGACTAATATGTATAAAATAATAATAATAATAATAATAATAATATTTACTCAAACCCTTACTCCCCCACCCCTACTCTAATACATTCTTGGACCCACAATTTGTTAAAGCATGTTTGAGAGTTGTTTATAATCTTAACAATTAATATATAGATAAAAGTATTGTTTGATAAGTGGGGTGGTACTTATGTTTTTCAAAAAATGTGTGAATAAAAAGAGGTTTAAGTGAATAAATGTAGATTAATAAATAGGTCTCGAACAAGGGACTCACTTTATTCACATATACAACTTATAATCACTTAAAAACAGCCCCTCGGGGTATAGTTCAATGATGCGAAAGACAAGAGTGATGTTATCTCACGCCTTGCTTGCAGTCGCAGTATGTTCGATTTCTGAGATATGAAATTGGACTCCTTATAAACGCAGTGTACAATCAGCTCTTGTTCTCTGACCTGTTGAGGCACATTCCGCAATTTACCTCCCTCACAAAAGCTCTAGGGACGGGACGGTGGGGGCCCTCAAGGCTCAAGGTCGGGGTTCAACCCTTTTTTTTTTGTTTTTTATAATTACTAAAAAACGAAGACCATGCTAGTTCTTAATTCTATTATATACAAACTTGCAATCTCGATTTCTACAACTTTTATCTACAATCATATCCCATTCATCTTCTTCCAGGTTATCTACAACTTTTCTCGACGGTCATAGCCGATTTATCTTCTTCCAAGATAAATACTTGATTTCTATGACATTCTTGAACACTAACATCATTTTCTTTTTATTTCAGAATAATTTAATGTGATTACATGACATGATATAGCGATATATCCAATTAAATGAGTTCAAAGTGTTCAATATTTCTACATTACTATTATTATGATGACATTGTAATGTCATATAAACAAGATGACAAACACTACTTGTGCTACTTTTCATATAGTGATATCGATTTGGTAAACTAGAAAGAAAAGAGAGAAGAAGAAAAAGTTAATAGACTTGTATGTATTTTATTGAAAATCAAAATCTCATATTTATAGGAAAGAATTAGGACTGCAAGAAATACAAAAATTACTCATAAATACTATTTTATTTACAATACTCCCCATAGAATAACTATTTTTACAATAACTATCTCTTCAAAAATAATTTTTGGCAAAAGCTCGATTGGACAAATACAAACAAATGAAAAAAAAAAGGATAAATAATTTGGAGTAATAAAATACTGACTCGTTAAAATCTCATTGAGAAAATCCAATGAAATAAAACTTGAGAGAAGAAAAAAGAGTACATTTGCTTTCCCTGATATCAATAAATGAATTTTTTTTATTGAGTCATTCATGTATTGTACATCAATGTTTTCAATATCGCAAATTTTGGTAAATCCTTCAAGCATAACATTAATATTCATGCCACATAAGTTTGCTATAATTGCATTTAAATTTTCATATATCGTCAAAATGACAACATATAGACTTGTGATTGCGTCCACCACTATCTTTACAAAATTTATTATGTTAAGAGTTGTGCATTACATACTACGACTTCATTTTTCTATTTTCATTTAGCGAAAATATAAACTTTTAGGTTTCAAACTGTAAATAAAAAAACTTCAAGTTTTTCTAGTAAATTCAATTTTGCTAGGATTGTGACTATTTATTTGGTCAATCATTTCTTATGTCGATATGATTTGACGAATTTATTTCAATATCCTTGTCTTTTATAATATCAAGCAATATACTGTGTATAAAGTATTATCGACAATTTCTTCTTTTGATTTTATTTCTTTTTCATAATAGCATAACTTAATGAGAGATCTATACTTTCAATATTTCTAAAACTCGAATCTCCTTTGAGGTTTTATAATTAGTTATTGTTATATGTTCTCCAGAAAATATACGTCTCCTAAATGGAACCATATTCCTTATATGCGCAATTTCCTTTTAGAGATTTTTTCTTAGAATCGAATGTATTCACGTTTCAAATATAACATAGATTTATCATATATAATATTAACAAATTGTCATCCCTGATGGTATATTCAAGTTGGAGCACTCAAAATTTGGTGTGTGAGGTGATGTTAATCTCTTTGATCAGTGAATATATCTAAATAAATAATTTTTCGAACTTCTAGTTCGAATCAGTTTTGCAAGGATCTAGATAATATAATAATGCATTATCTATATTATTTTTAGTTTCTTAATTTCTCCATCTAATATTGAGAAGTTTGTTTAGTTAAATTGACAATCAACAAATTACATTATAATATATCATCCATAGGGCTTTAGATATTGTATAAGGGTTCAAATTATATATTTATTATTAGTATTATTTATTTTTCATCTAATACATTGTGATGGATCAATTGTACATATATTGCACTATAAAAATAATTAGATAAAAAATTTAAATATGACCATAAACCAAATATTGAGAAAAAATTGATATTTACATGATGATAACAGCATTCCCTAAACTGAACTGGGAAGCATTTTGTTTTCAATAGTAATGGTTTAGAAAATAATTGAAATAATAAAATCGTTAAACAAGTAATAGTGTTATACCATTTATCATTATCCCAGCTAAAACTTAAAAAAATGTTGAAATTTAAGTTTCATTAGTATTAACGAGAAACACCGTCTTAATTGCATAATCTGAAATTATGTTCATAATACAAATTCGAGCAAGTAATCTCACAAACTTCAGGTTGCTAACATCTTGCAATCATCTAATAGATGTATCGTATATCTATTAAATATAAATAATATTTAGATAATCAATATGGATAGTGACGGAGCCCGTATATCACTCTAATTAATTTTTAAGATTATAAGAATTTAATTCCATTATTAGCTAGTGATGGTCAATGACCAATTTATAATGTTGAGAACAAGCATTATATGTGAATTCATTAAATTGAAGAATCTCCTAATTCTTCATTAAAATATTCATTTGAATTCTCATATTGCATCATTATTGATTCAGTGATGGTGTAACTAGACAATTCAAAAATAAAATATTAGAGTTATTAAACTTTTAGTTCAATACAATGTTTATTTTAATTGTATTAATATTAATATAGTGTATCAATTAATAAATACTATTAGAAACTTTGTATGTTTCTCTTTATTTGGTGGAGAATAAATCACTAGCAATGATAAATTTGTCCCTCCATATCACCTAATTTGACTCTTAGGGAGACTTCATAAAATTATCAAATCAAATCTTCATTTGATATTTTTCAAGAATAACAAAATAATGTCATTCTTGAATATTTATGTAGATAGGCTTTTTTTTTTTTTTTTTTTTCCTTTCAGGAAACGTTAGCACAATATTCTTTATATTAAATTGTCTTGAGAACAACAATCATTATCATTTTGAAATATTGAAATTATATTATGGTCTTCAGAAGAAATAATATTCTCTCAGAATAGTATATGTTGTGTTTCTTCATGAGCAATAACAAATTAAACACATTAATTAAATATGTAAATATAATGTATTTTATGTTATGATCAATTATAACGTGCAAAACGAATACAAAAATTGAATATGCACAATGTAATAATTATAATCTATATATAACAATGAATTAAGGAAAATGTGCAGTTTATCAATTGAAATTGATGGGCTGAGGTGTACACTTTGGGACAATATGTAATTTTTATACTAGAAAACCAATTTAAAGGAGTTTAGCCATTGTCTACGTACATAATTTTCATGAATGGATTGTTGGATTTGTATTATAGCTGTTAGATTTGAAGAACAATGTGAACAGCTATCCTAATATTACGATATCAAACAACAAAACCCCAATTCAGAATTTAGATAACACATGTACAGACTGTCTAGATTCAATGAATTTTTGCATTGTTGAATCTAAAATAATAATACAACGTTTTCATAGTATATGAAGTCATGTTATTTCATGGGTATCAATCCAAAATTTTTTTAGAATATAGATTCATACTTTTATTTAGGAAGCAACAAGAAAATATTTATTAGAAGTTTAAGATGTATAAGGTTTATATTTTTCAGGAGCATTAACATGATATTTCTATAGAATATTTTTTTTAAATAAAGTCATATTTCCCTAAGAACATTGACATAGAATTTATCTAGAATATAATATGTACATGTATTATACTCTATCAAATTTTACAATACAATATTGTTTTTAAATATTGTTACTATGCCTTCTTTAAGAATAATAATACAATATTATTTTTAAATATTGATATTGTGTGAATTTTTACTTCTTCAAGAGCAAGAAAATAACCCAAATAAAACATTTTTTAATAATTGTACAATATTCTTCTGAATTATTGATTTAGAATATTTATTTTTCAAGAATAAAATACTATAAACCAAGAATATTGTAATGAAATATTGAAAAAAGAACATTACATTCAAACAAACATATATGTATCATAAATTGGTATAGTAAAAACAATATGATTTGATCAAATAAGTGTATTGCTCTGTTATACAATTCAAAGTTAAGAGAATATTGACCTTTTTTAGTAGAAAAGAAGAGTTTCTTTGTAAATTTAATGGACCGAATTAAAGGAACATAATAGTTGACATTGGGGATAACCGAACACACACATCCCAGGAGTCGGGCATTATTTAATTCACTTGGGATCTGTGCACTTTGTGAGGGTTAGTCACCCCAGGTATCAAACATTTTCGGGTAAAGTGGTATTTTCCAAATTTAATTGGCTTGAAATTCTTGGCTTTTCTTGATCAAATGAAAAATTATTTTTCTACCCGAACTAGCTAGATATTTGTGGGCAAAAAGAGGAAGAAATTTTGCTATCTCTATTTAACTAGAACTTCGTGCTGATAACGTGTTATAAACTAGAGAGAAAAGAAAATAAAAAAAATAAGTTAATAGATTTATATGTATTTTACTATGAACCAAAACTCTATATTCAAACGGAAGAATTAGGGGTGCAAGAGATATAATAGTTATTCATAAATACTACTTTATTTACAACATGATTCAATTTATTGAAACATCTACGTTCTTAAGTTTCCAAAAACAAGCATATATATGCTCACTCGAATGTAACTATCACCTTATATGTCAAGTGACATGTATCTTATATGAGTCATGGCCCATTTCTTCCAAAAACATGTTAAAATAAGGGTAATGCTATGTAACACAAATGATGTTTAGCATTCTTTCATTAGACTTAGTGGCCTGGTTTGAATTTTTCTTATACAATGTAAGACAACATCACGACAAAGTTTTATTTTGAGAAATTTTGGAATTGCAATGCAGGTGATCTTGCCATTCGTATACTATCTATCGTTGCATTTTTTGAATTTATTATGCCATTATATTTAGGACAAAATTTCATTTCAAAGTTCAATCAAATAATTAGAAAGATATATTTTTTTGGTAGTATAATTAGAAAGAATCTTATGCTATGAAAATTAATACAATACTATTTACCATATTTGAAGAAGGAAAGTATTTTAATAAATGTTATGCTCCCACCTAGTGTGAGGCCTAATCATCTCCACTTGAAGGCCATACAGAGGCATCGTACACGTGGACAATCTGATCGTAAGGAGTAGGTCAAGTTGCTGAACACAACTAAGCCTCACAAGTTAGGGACAAGTTCGCATGATCATGGCCAAGGTTGAATAGCTCGAGTCTTGGTCACTTAGAGCATCGAGAAGAGCCGATGCACATGAGTCACCCTACAAACCAAATATATGAAGCTCAAAGTGGGAGGAAACCAAAGGAAAGTGCCTTGACGCATACCTCGAAGCTAGCCAATCGAGCACTTGAGAATGCATTAAGACACTAGGGAAGAAGCTTACAAGTTGATGAACATAGGATGGTCAACGGAATACACTATTATAAAATACCTACTGACATGTACCACTTATCTAGGTATTTATCCCATAAGGAAGGTGTCATGCCACCAAATCAGTGTTGGATGTCATTTCAATCCCAATAAGGCAAAATGAGTAATCGGATGCGACAAGATAAGGGGAAGCAATTCAGGACCCTTGACAATTGTCATAGGTTTGCAGGAAGGACAAATAAAAGTGACCTATAAATAATATCTATTTAAGGAAAGCGACATTGACGAGTCGGCCACCCACTCGCTCTCACATTTCTGTCCAGGAGACTAGAATAACCCCCACACCTTGAACCCTAAATATATCTACATAATACACAAAGCATAAGATATGTGAGATAAAAAAGTATAAACCAAAAATTTGTCAATTTGTTTCCTCGGGCTAAGTTCCATATATAACTTGATCATTAGAGTGCTTATGGTCGTTGCACCTCTTGCATTTTATCATTGACCTAGCGCGAACTAGATATAGTACAAGTGGGTAGAGAGGTGTTCGGATTCTATTAATTTTGAAATCTGACAAATTTTGAGGTACTTATAAAGTTGTATCATACCATATTCAAAATTGACTCTCATAATTCAAAACTTCAAATTCAAAAAAGCGAAATAAGTTAAAACTTCAAATATCGCTCTAAATATCTCTTCTATATAAGCAAATCGTAAGCGACCCCCAACCTATTTCCTTTCAAGAATATATTGACTTCTTTGGTAAATTTCAGTTTTACCTACGATTCCACACTGCCATGTTTAGTACCGCTAATACAACAATGTTACTATATATAATCCACTTTGTTTCAAATCCAAGGGCCAGCCCAAGATAAGATTCATTCAAATCAAACTAGGGGAAAAAAAAGGAAAAAGAAAAAGAGAATTGAAAGAGAGGAGAAAAAGGCTGTCAACACTGAGAAAGAGAATAACACTCGCCCCCAGCACTTGATGACGGCTATTATTACAAGTAAGCACACAAATCTGAAGATTCATGGAGGTCGATGGAAAACTCCCTTTTCTGTGGGATTCATCATTCAAGAACCTAAACGAAGAAGAGTGAATGATGAGGAAGAAGAGAAAAAGGCTGAAGCAAAATGAGAATAGTGTGAAGAGAGAGAGGGTGACAGGCGTCCGAATGCACCACGTGGCGTTTTCCCGTTGGATGGCTCATGGGCTCTCTTCCCACGACAACACATACCCTTGGCTGCCATGTCAGTGTGTCTAACCCCCCCACCCACTCTAAGTCCTAAAACCTCGCTGAATCCACACTTCATTCTCTCTCTCTCTACATTTATTTCGATTGTCTGCCCCCTATTCTCTCTCTCTTCCTTCTCGTATACCTAATCCCTCTTTGACGGTGCTCGACCGCTCTCTTATTAATTTATTATTAGTTCATGTGCCTAATTAAGCAAAGTGGGTTTTTCGTATTGTAGGTTTTTAAATCCATAAACAAAGTTTGGTGAGTGCTAATTTTTATCTGGGCTACTTTCTTTGTTGTGTGGTTCTGCAATTTTTCCAATTATAGTGTGTATAGCTCTTCATGATGAACTGGGTACTGCCTGATTTTTGTGCATGTTGTGGGTTTTGTTTTGATTTAAGTTAAATTTATGATTTTGGGATATTTTTATTTAAATAGGAATTAATGCGTGCGTCTTTTAACCCGCTTTTGGTCTTTTAGGTATTAATTTGTTGTTGCATGTGGTGATCTCTGATGATATTAGACCACTCAGTGTTTATCTCCAGGTAAAATGGGGTTTTGAGGATATCATTTTGAATTTGGTTTAATGAAGTTGATCTATTAGTTCACTCATTGTTTCTGTATTTATAGAACTGTGCAGTTTCTTTTCAGTCTGTTAAAGTTAGGGATTTGATCGACATGTTGAGAAATTTACTTGCTAAAAATGATACAAAGTTACAAACCTTCGGTTTTGGCTACTTTTAATATTTAAAGAATAAAAGGAATAGATACCAACTTATAGAATTGGAACAAGGAAAAGATGACTACATTATGCATTTGGGAACTTTTGAGAGTAAAATGGAAAGGTTAATATGAATAGGATCTACGATTCCTGTGACTATCAATCCAAAAAAGAAACATATTGCTGACGAGGAAACTTATGAAAGAGCAAAAGGATATAAATAACAAGAAGATATACCCTGCCTAGACATTCTGTAATTCACAGTGCGTTACAACTTTTATCTTATGATTATTTGTTGCATGGCGTACACAAGCTTATGTGAGTGTTAATTAGTTTAATAAATACCGGTACCGGTCATGGCTACTTAAAAGAACATGACAAAAAGAAGATACCTGCTGCTCTCAGCATCCTGGATATGTGATGAAGTATAAATTTTACCTACCAAATATACGAACCCTAGTGCTAAGCTTACGTGAGCATGAAGCAGTTAAAAGTCTTAGTTCCAAGACTTTTCACAGACCAGTTCTTTTAGTGTCTGCAATGGGCTTGCTTTTTGATGTTTCCGTTATTTGAAAATTCAAATTTTGGAATGTCGTGCTTTTTCTATGATATTGTATGCAGCTAACTTTAGCTCTTCTCATGTCCAATAATCCAGTTTTTCTGAAATGTGTATTGTTTATATACGCTACTTGTTTTTTCTACAAGAATCAGAAACTTATTCTTTTGCTTTTAAGTTGCCAATGCTTCTTGTGTCCTAATTTGATCTTTAAAGCAATGTTGGAAACCTTCTTGCTAAGTCATTTTATAGCATTGTTGATTTAGTCATGCAACAAAAGTGCAGTACAGCGCCCTTTAGAAGGGTATCTTATATGTACTTTTTTTTAAGGAAATGTTTGAAAGGAATTTGAAGCGTAAAGGGGGTATGGATCTATCAAAATTATGTTACATTGATTTCAGGGCGCCAAAAGAGGCTTTATATTCTGTTGCTTATATATATACACGCACTTTGTAAACTTTCCAAAGAAAAGAATGTTGGCGTTACACTTACACTGGTGAAGTTTGTCCACGACTAACAATTTCCATTTCTTCATTACAGATCTTAAATGCAAGACTTGACATCTAACAATGAAGGAAAGCTATTCAGATACAAATCAAAACCTTGACAGAAACTGGGTCTTGAAACGTAAACGAAGAAAGCTTCCATGTGGTACAGATAAGTCCAGTGGCAGGGAAAAAAATTCCAAATCTGGAGAATATCCATCAAGCACTTCATCCAAACGTGACTTGAAAGAAAAAGTTTCTTCAGATCATTCTCATAGCAAGAAAAAAGGAACTGATGGGGTGAGCTATTTTTTCTTTTCCTTCTGTAGTCCTTTCTTTCAAAAATATTAGTGACAACAAACCTCTTCAAGAAAAGGTGAAGTTAAAGTGAAAACGATTATTGAAAATGATAAGAAAGATGTTTTAATCAAGAATCTATGCATGAAAGGCTTTAAAGCCCAATTCTTCATCCTCTTGCGTTAAGAAATCAACACAATATTGTATCTAATTTTCTTCCTTTTTTGATGTCCACCCAGAAATTCCTTCTCTTTTGTGGGATTGTTTTTTCTTTGGTGAAGCTATAATTAATTGACAAGTTTTTGTTTTTGTTTTTTTGTTTTTGTGTTTTTTTTTTTAAATAATTGATTAACAAGTACTTGTTCTTCGTGCTAGAGTAGCAATGTAGGCAATTTTGAACTGCTTTTTGACTTTTGTTTGGCTGGTTTATTATATCTTTCAGTATTATTATGAGTGCGTAGTCTGTGATCGTGGTGGAAATTTGCTGTGTTGTGATAGCTGTCCCCGTACCTATCACATTCAATGTTTAGATCCTCCTCTAAAGGTATGTTGAGTTTATCAAGAATTTTAAGTGTAATGTGTTTTATTAACCTTTTATTCATTTTTTTCCATAAAATAATGCATTTTATATTTACTTTTTTACCTTAAGCGTATTCCTTCTGGGAAGTGGGATTGCCCGACCTGCTGTCAGAAGAGTGCTTCATTGGAGCCTGTGAACTATCTTGATCCTGTTACAAAACGACCACGGACAAAAATTATCATTCGAAGATCAAAAGCTGAAAATGAATCATTTGAAGCTAACAAGGTATCTGAGGCATTTGAAGGTCCCAGTTCTGGGAAGAAGAAGTCCTCGGACAAAGAAAACGCGTCCTTGCCTCATCATGGAGAATTGGTTGAAAAGTTTGACTATTCCTCCAATGACGAATGTTGCATTAACGAAACAGGTAATCTTGTGCAGGGTGGTTCTTTGGAGGGTAGTTCATCACATGCTGGTGTTGATAGGAAGCTGGAGGTCTCTCTTGCTCACACACTAGTTGAGAAGTTAGTTACTCCCGTTACTCCTGTTAAGGAAATGTCTTTGTCAAAGAAAAGAAATTCAATCGTGGATGAGGAAGCTTCTGAGATAAAGCCTGAAGCATCTCCTGGAAATGTATCTCCAGGAAATGGATCTGTCATTGCAAAGGAAGCTCCCACCCGGATAGCCAGAAAAAGAAAGCATAAGGTTTATGCCTTCAGTGATCAGAAAAAGTGTAAGAGTGACAAGGAAAAATCGACTGCATATTCTTCTGGGAAAGGTGTGTCCAAGTCAAAAGCTGCACGTCCAGGAATTTCTAAATCAAAGGGAAAACGTAAGATAGTTTGCCATGGGGATTGTGTAACTCCATTAAAGCAGGATGTTGTTGACACCCAACAAAAAAATGAGGTCTGTATTCCTGCCTTTTCCGTACTGTGTTCTCTTTTGGTGCTTATTCAAGTTGAGATATTTTCCTTCTTGCTAAATCTTATCTAATTTTTAAAAATATAACTTTAATATCAATACTTTCAATTTTCTAATTGGGAAAAATTTCAATAGTTTTAATTTTTAAACCACTTTATAAGTCTGAATACCAGTGTACCTCTTCCCATATTATTTTGTTTTAGACATCTGGTTATCTGATGAAGTGTTTCAGTTCTCTCCCTAATGTTTGGAAGACACTAAAGAAGAGTTTCCGTCATTTTAGAATTCTGGTCACTTTATAGAGAGTTCTGATATGCTCTTTAATATTTTGAGGACAAGAAAGAGGAGCTTCTGTAGTTCTTCTCGTTGCAGTCTAGGATGCGTATTTATACTCAGTTAAGATGTATGGACAATATGGTAACACTTCATGGTGCTGTGCATTTGTTTCCCTTGTTTTTGTTTTGCCATTTGCAACTCTAAATATAATCCTTTTATAGTAAGGGGCCAAGTCTTTTCTATCCCATTTTAACATTGATATATAGTTCTGTGGGTCATCTCTATGTCTCTTTTTTCCTAGTGCTGTTTCCATAATATGAACTCATTTGGTGCAGATGATTTCTGAAGAAGCAGCTTGTGGAACACACGAATCACGTGAAGCTGAGAAATTTGCAGTTGAGCCCTTAATATGTGAAGATAATGCTGCTGAAGTTCAGCAGGTACAATTGTTGGCTAGTATTTCTTGCAAAGAATTATGTACAGTAACACAGAGTGTTATAGTTAAATATTTTCCCCTCTATGACCTGTAATTATGAGGTTTTTTGTTTCTATTTTCTTGTTCTATTTAATAGGTCGATCGGATTGTGGGTTGTCGTGTGAAAAATGGTAATATAAATTCTGCTTGCAATGTTCTCATGATGGACGTGGATGAACTCCCTTTGGAGGACTCCGTAGTTGCAGAAGATCTAAATAAAGTATCTGGGAAACGCCCCTGCTCTGAAATGCCTGGGATAGGCAGAGAAAAGATTGCAATGGGTTGTCAGTATATTGCTAGCTGTTCCAATGGGAGCAAGAACATAACGGATCACGTGAATGAAGGTAAGCTACAAGTATACAGAAGATCTTCAACCAAAGAATGTAAAGAACGAAATTTCAAGGATTCTATGAGAGATATTGAAGAATCTAATGTTCTGAAAAATAAAAATCAAGATAATATTTCAGGCCCAGAAAGTACAGCAAAGACTGCCAAGATAATCTCAGGAGGCAAGAAGATTGATTTTGGCGTGGAAAGTTGTAACCACGACGTCTTAAACAACTGTCAAACTCCCGTTACAGATGAGAATGAAAACTCAAAGGATGGTGAAATTAAGATGACAATGATGTGTGCTCCTAAAAAGAAATTTACAAAATCCTGCTTGGATGAATCTGGATCCTCCGAAGGATTGACTGTCTCATTTGAGTTTCTAGTCAAGTGGGTTGGGAAATCTCACATCCACAACAGTTGGATTCCTGAATCTGAACTGAAAGTTCTAGCAAAACGGAAACTGGAGAATTACAGGGCAAAGTATGGGACATTGACTATAAATCTTTGCCAGGAACAGTGGAAGCTGCCTCAGCGAGTGATTGCTACTCGGTCCTCTCTATGTGGTTCAACTGAAGTATATGTAAAGTGGACAGGTCTTCCTTACGATGAATGCACTTGGGAAAGAACCAGTGAACCTGTAATTGCGAAATCGCTTCACTTGGTTGATTTATTCTTTAAATTTGAACACCAAACGCTGGAGAATGATGGAAAACACGATTCACAATGGAGGAAAGGCGACTTCCAACAAAATGAAGTAATTACTCTCACTGAGCAGCCTAAAGAGCTAGCAGGAGGTTCTTTGTTTCCTCATCAGCTGGAAGCATTAAATTGGTTGCGTAAAAGCTGGCATAGATCAAGAAATGTGATACTTGCTGATGAAATGGGGCTTGGAAAAACAGTATCAGCTTGTGCCTTTTTATCGTCATTATATTTAGAATTTAAAGCTACTCTGCCTTGTCTGGTTTTGGTTCCTCTATCCACAATGCCCAACTGGATGGGTGAGTTTTCGCTATGGGCTCCTAACCTCAATGTGGTGGAATATCATGGGAACGTGAGGGCTCGAACCATAATTCGCCAGTATGAATGGCATGCATCTGATCCTAATGGGTTGAATAAGAAAACGTCAGGTTATAAGTTCAATGTTCTTTTAACTACTTATGAAATGGTTCTTGCTGATTCCTCTCATCTACGTGGAGTTCCCTGGGAAGTTCTTGTGGTTGATGAGGGGCACCGTCTGAAAAACTCTAGCAGTAAGCTTTTTGGCTTGCTAAACACTTTCTCATTCCAACATAGGGTACTGTTGACAGGTACTCCTCTTCAGAACAATATAGGGGAGATGTATAATCTTCTAAACTTTCTGCAGCCAGCTTCATTTCCTTCTCTCTCGTCATTTGAGGAGAAATTTAATGATCTAACAACTGCCGAAAAGGTAGAGGAACTGAAGAAACTTGTTGCCCCACATATGCTTCGTAGGCTTAAAAGGGATGCCATGAAGAATATCCCCCCAAAGACTGAACGAGTGGTTCCTGTTGAGTTGTCAAGTATTCAAGCAGAATATTATCGTGCCATGCTAACAAAGAATTATCAGGTGTTACGCAACATAGGGAAAGGGGTTCCACAGCAGTCAATGTTAAATATTGTGATGCAGTTACGAAAGATTTGCAATCATCCTTATCTTATACCTGGCACTGAGCCTGAATCTGGATCGGTGAATTTCCTTCATGAAATGCGAATAAAAGCTTCAGCCAAGCTAACTTTGCTGCATTCTATGCTCAAGGTGTTACACAAAGAAGGTCATAGAGTCCTTATCTTTTCACAAATGACCAAGTTACTCGACATCCTTGAGGATTATGTGTCTATCGAGTTTGGGGCAAAGACATACGAGAGAGTTGATGGCTCTGTATCTGTGGGAGATCGACAAGCAGCAATAACTCGTTTTAACCAAGATAAGAGTCGATTCATATTCCTTCTCTCAACACGCTCTTGTGGCCTGGGCATCAACTTGGCAACTGCTGACACTGTCATTATCTATGATTCTGACTTTAATCCACATGCAGACATCCAAGCCATGAATCGGGCACATCGAATCGGACAATCAAACAGGCTTCTGGTATACAGGCTTGTTGTCCGTGCTAGTGTTGAAGAGCGCATCTTGCAACTTGCAAAGAAGAAATTGATGCTTGATCAACTTTTTGTGAACAAGTCTGGGTCGCAAAAGGAGGTGGAAGACATCCTAAAATGGGGAACTGAAGAACTTTTTTGTGATTCTTCTACCGCAACAGAAAAAGATGGTGAAAACCACAACAATAAAGATGAAGCAGTTACAGAGCCGAATGCCAGGAGGAGAACTGGTGGCCTTGGGGATGTATACGAAGATAAATGTGCAGATGGTAGCAATAGGATTGTGTGGGATGAAACTTCTATTTCAAAATTGCTAGACCGCTCACACGTCCCATCTGATTCACCTGATAATGCTGAATCAGAAATAGAGAATGATATGCTTGGTTCAGTGAAGGTATTGCTTCTGCCATTTTATTTCCCCAGTTACATTATCCTTTACTATTCAAAATCTTTGTTTCTGCTAATATTTCATATGTCCTAAATTTGGGTTTCTCATGGAGCTTCATTGGTCGCTCATCCTTCTAATTTTAGCAGAACCCAGATTTGATGCTTTTCTGGAAAAATTTCTCTGTTTTTAGTTGAGTTTGGAATAATGATATACACCTTCTAGTTTATAGTGTGATTAATTGAACAAAATTATCTGTAAAGCTGAATGAAAAAGATGATTCATGGACACTCATTTAATGAACTCATTAGTTTCAAGTTTTAAGGACTAATTTTCCTTGTTCACCATGATAAATAAGAATAAACCATCACCATTTTGCATTTGCATGTCTTCTCTGGATTGTGTGTATCATTCATATTCATATGAAGACTTGTTGACATCATGAAGCTAATAAGAAGCATGTCAAATTAGTCCCTAGAATGGAATGATGAACCAACAGAAGAACAAGATGGAACAACATCTGTTTCCGTGGGCACTAGTGCTCCGGGTGCACAGAATTCTGATAAAAAGGATGATGATTTGACTGGCAGCAATGAAGAAACTGAATGGGACAGGCTTCTGCGAGTTAGGTACGTATTTCATTCTTAAGTTATAGAGCACCTCTTCCATTACTCCTTGTTTTCAAATTTCTGCTTTGTGTTTTCTATGCCACAGCTCTGATACTTTAAGAGTTCGATTTTCCTGAATCTAGGATAAATAGTCCTAGCAGAAGTACGCAGTTTAATGAGCCTATTTTTAAGGTTTTTTCGTTATTAGCAATGATGATTGTGGACTCAAAATGTGTGGAAGGATTCCTGCTTCACATAGAACATGAACAAGGAGAATTTGTAATCCCAAAAACTCATTAAGCACCTATTTATCTTTGTAGTAATGAGGGCAGCATTCTTCGATCGGTAATATTGAAAATTAAGTGGATCAACATAAATATATAAATGCATGAACATGCGTATGGGAAATTTACATAAATTAGTTTTCCACTTTGTTATCAAAAACTCCTCATTCACAAGTTACTTCATAAGCATCTCTTTCTTACAGCATTTGCTCGTTCGATTTGTAGATGGAAGAAATACCAAAGTGAGGAGGAAGCAGCCCTCGGCCGGGGAAAACGTCAAAGAAAAGCTGTTTCTTACAAGGAAGCATACGTGGCACACCCCAGTGGAACACTGAGTGAAGTACTGCCTCTCTCTCTCTCTCTGTACATGTGCTTTTGGGGGTGGGGTGGATATTCCGTTCATCTTTTATTTCTCTATATGCCCAAATTCCTAATATCTGCATCGGAGGCTTGCAGACAATTCTGTGTGCTAACAATATTATTTGCATAGACATGTATAGATGACTGATCTCCAATGATTTTAACATATATTGATAGTCCCAGGCCCCTCAGTAAAAATGGGCATCGTACAGATGCTTCTACCATATTGTGTTTGTGATTTGAATTGCTACATTTTGGGTATTGGCTAGGTCGTGAATTGCATATCCTTTTCCGTTTTGTGAATTTTGCTATCAACGATGGCTATCATTGTTTTAACCGTCGTTCTGATTAGAATTCAAGCATTATAAATAGAAATCTCCCTGTCAGCAGTTATTTTTCTCTTTCTACTTTGCTTTAACTTCCTGTATTAGTGTTAACCCGACTGGCCATCTTCAGTTTCCATTACTGATGATTTGTTGATGACCTCTGTTTTCACTGGTCCAGTTATCAAAAATGGCTGTTATCAAGCAAAAAAAAAATATTTTCTTTACATTTTATTGCCAACATCAACTGCTATTACACAAGGCCTTGTTTTAACCTTCCATTTACTTTTTGCTGTCAGAATGTCAGTGATTCCATCCTGATTAAATTTTGTTACAAGTGTCTGATTTTCATGAATTGAATTGAATGTTTTGATTAGAGGCTATATCTGTCTGAGTCTCAGTGATTGTTGTTATTGTGTGGTATACCAGAGTGTTGCGGAAGAGGAACTGGAGCCCGAACCCATGCCTGGGAGACAGTACACTCCAGCAGGACATGCTCTTAAAGCAAAATAGTGAGTTTTTATTCATGATAATTATACGCTTTTTTCTTGTCGTTATTCCTGTTATAACCAAGATCTGATGTTCTGATCTTCTGTTCACTGATTCGGCCTCGATCCTTTTGGAACTATATCTCCCAAATAATATGTTCAGAAATCTAGGATTTTAATATTTCAGTGTAATATTATATGAATGGTTATATAAGAGCACAAGCCTGTAACCAGAGATCTCCATGGGGGACCCTTATTTGATTAAAATCACTGTGATAAGCGTCAAAATATTTGAATGAGTACAATTGTGGCCCATGATGGTGGAAGTTACGGATCTTATGTAATTAAGGCATAGTGTTGCATCTAATCAGCCCCGGACAAAAGGAGAATGTAATAAATTTAAAGCTCATCAACTGACACATAATAGCTCATGATCATTGACTCCACCTATGGTGTTCATGTGTTTGTATTATTTTATTTTATTTTTTATTTTTTATTTTTTTTTCAACAGTTCAAAGCTTCGTGCTAGACAAAAGGAACGGCTGACAAAGAGGAAAGCAACTGAATTATCTACTTTGATCAAGGGATTTTACAGACTAGAGTCACTTCCTCAGTTCTCTCCTCTGCATGCTAAAGATGATAATCAAATGACCATATCAACTCAGCCTATCAAAGAGAAGGCTTCAGCCTTGGACTTAGAAAATAAGAGTCATGGTCAAACCACAGGACCCAATAGCAAGACCAACCCGACCATGATGCTGGGTAAGATTATGGAGCATAAATCCAATGCTGATTTGGAGCTTCCGGGTATGTATAATCACTCTCCAGACGTTACCCTGTCAAATGACCATTTTAAGGGGACAAGCTCCATGAACACAATGCACAACTTGTTGCCAGTTTTAGGATTGTGTGCTCCTAATGCTCCAAATTCTAACCAGTTGGAGCCATTGCAAAGAAAATTTTCAAGACCAAGACAATACAAGCAAGGACCTGGGTTGGATTTGCCGTTACCTGCTACTTGTTCTAGCATGTTAAACGAGATGACTGTTAAAGATAAAGAGGCAGTCTCAGGCAGATTCAATTTTCCGGATATTTATTCTGGTGCTTCACTTTCACAACCTAAGAGTGACATCCCTAAGAATTATCTTCCCTTGAATCCGGTATGCTCTCCCCCCCAAAAAAAATAAAATACAAACACACATACACACAATGATTACTAATTCTCATTTATTTGCAGCATCCTCTGGATATTCTGAGAGGAAAGAGCTCGACGGAGCATATAGGAAACTCTGGTGCTACTTTCTCTGGTTTTCGAGAAAGGACTTTGTTGCCCAAATTACCCTTTGATGAGAAGCTGCCGAGATATTCATTTCCTAGTGCTAACTTTACCCATCCAACTCCTGACTTGTTTTCAAGCTTATCACTAGGATCTAGTATTTCAGACCGAAGTAATTCTGTCCCTGAACTCCTAAAGATTCCATTATTGCCGAATCTCAAATTTCCACCAGATCTTCCCAATTATAACCAACAAGAACAGCAAACACATCCAGGATTGTGCTCAGATCCAATGCCACCATTTTTTGCATTTCCTGAAAACCATCGGAAAGTTCTTCAGAATATTATGATGAGAACTGGACCTGGCTCCAGCAATATGCTGAAAATGAAACCAAATGTAGATATCTGGTCTGAGGATGAACTTGATTATCTGTGGATTGGTGTTCGTAGACATGGAAGGGGAAAGTGGGATTCAATGCTACGAGATCCAAGGCTAAAGTTTTCGAAGTTCAAAACCGCTGAAGATTTGTCATCAAGATGGGAAGCAGAACAAGTTAAGATCTTGGATGGACTAGCATTACCTGGACCAAAGTCTGTCAGGCCCCCAAAGTCCCCGAATTCATTCATATTTTCTGGGATATCTGATGGATTGATGGCACGGGCATTGCACGGAACTATCTCTGATGGAATGATGGCTCATGCATTGCCTGGAATTAGCTCTGATGGAATGATGGCGGGGGGATTGCACGGAACTAAATGTGATGGGTCACTGAAATCCCACTCCGGCATTACAGAGATGAAATTGGGTCTTGGTGATCTGCCTGCTAGTTTGACACATCTGGAATCATCTGATACTCTTCCAACTTGGATTGCAGATAAGTTCCCTGCAAAGTTGTCCAGAGACTACTCTGCAGGACCTGCTGATGGATTAGTTCTTTCCTCAAGCATACCAGAATCGCCATTTCTGTTGAACTCATCAGGAACTAGTAGATTTCATTCTCTTGGTTTGAATTGTTCAGACAGATTTAAGTTACAGCACATGGAGAGACAAAGTGATGCAACTAGATTAGGTTTATTGCCTGGTCCTGGTAACATGGGATGCAGTGAGCATAATAGTTCTCTGGTTGCCAGTTGTAACAGGGACCAGAAGGTTCCACAATCTAAAGGAAAAGAAGTGGTTGCTACATGTACTCCAAAAGAAAAGCTGCCTCATTGGCTTCGAGAAGCAGTAGATGCTCCTGGTAAAACTCCTGAACCTGATCTGCCACCGACTCTCTCTGCAATATCACAATCTGTTTGTGTCTTATATGGGGAAGAGTCCTCCAAAATTCCCCCATTTATTGAGCCAGGACTGCCTCCCCCACAGCCACAGGATCCTCGAGGCAGTTTGAAGAAGAGGAGGAGGAGGAGGAGGAGGAGGAGTAGATCACATGCAGCTAATCAAGAGTCTCAAATCAGTAACTGTCAAGCTAGCCACCCTGGAGAACGTGTTGGTTCATCATCTATTCCCCTAGAGGCAGCCTTCCCTCTGCCTCCAAACTCGAGTGACGTGGTTTCAGGAGTCCCAAAGATTGAGCCCAACCTCAACATACCTTCTCTCAATCCAAAAATGACTAGTCTTTCATCTTCGTCTGGGCTGACTCCAATCAAGAAAGTGACTGCAGGATTATCCCCTTCACCTGAAGTCCTTGAATTGATCTCTTCCTGTGTCGCACCAGGTCCACCACCTGCAACACACTCAGACTTAACTGACAGCTTGCTCCATTTGCAAAATTCTGTTGATCAAGGAAGCTCGGAACCCCAAGATGTGTGTGTGGAACACAAGTCAAACCAGAAGTCACCTGCTGTAGAAGAGCAGACAGGAAGTGGTGATTCCAGCAAAACGCTGTCTGATCCTGTTCACCCCGAACAGCCAGATGGAGAGGAGGTGTCTTCAGACGGGACAATAGCAGTTCAACCTGTAAGCAACCATGAACCATTGACAGATGTGGGGAGTTGATTGGGAAACAGGTTTTCTTCTCAAAGTACCAATGTTCCTGATAATTAGCTATTTTGCCCAGTTTTGTAGTGCTTGTGATTGTTGAACTTATTATGTAACATTTTGTTAGATAATATGAAATGCAGAATGTAGCTCAATATTATTGTAGCACAAAATAAAAAAATGTTAACTCTTGTCCGACGCCATCTCCAATCCCTTGGGGTGAGAGAAAAATGCAAAATCAATCTTGTGCAGTAGTCGTGCAGAATAAGTTTGCCATTTAGAGTAGAATGGTTGAACTCAATCTGCACAAGAGTGATAAGCTGTGTAGTTCATAGTTGCTATGACCTTTTGGATAAGTTGGTAGAATTTGTGTAAGATTATGCTCCATCTGACTCAGTGCTTAGCATTTTCATGTTAT